GCTCCGTTGTTGACCTCTTGGGGCTCTTCTGTGTCGTGTGTCACGCGCGCCCGATGTCTGAGAGACGTGAGTGGGCGCGCAGCGTTTTGTGTCGGTGTGCGGGCGTCAGCAGGTGTCAGTGGCGGCATGCTCCCGTGGTGGGCCGGTGTCATGCAGTGGCGTGGCATTCCCGTAGTTTTGTCGCGTTTGTACAGTCGACTGATCCGATGGTAGGGAAGGCGACATGCTCCCGTGGTGGGCTTGTGTCATACGGTGGCGTGGCAGTCTCGTGGTTTTGTCGCGCTTGCGCAGTCGATCGATCCGATGGCAGGGAAGGTGGCTCTTGGAGTGGGTTCTCCAATTGCTGACCAGATGACTGGCCCGAGGTGTGCCGTGGTAGATGTCTGGGTGCTTGTCCTGACGGTTGCCTGGATTCTTTTCCCGTTGATAGTCTCGGCGGTTGCCCGAGCGGTTGGTTGCCCCGACGGTTGCCCTGGCGGTGATCCGGCCGGCAAGGTGCCAAGAAGGGCCGAAGAGGAACCCGAAAACGGCCCAAAAAGATGCTAAGAAGGCCCCGAGGCGGTCTGGGGGAACCCCCAGGGCGGCTCAAGCGACAGCATTTCCGCGTTGGGTCGCAACCGCGTCCGTCTTGCAGTAAAAACCGCGCGGGGTCTGACCTGGTTTGAGGTCCGTTTTGCGGCCCAACATGGGCCCCGCAGCGTCCAAAATGGACCCCGGAGCGCGCCCAAAACGGCGAACAAAAGGGAGTGATGAAAAATGACGCACGCTGTAAGCAGCGTCCTGGACAGCCCCGGGGAAACCGAAATCAGGCCAAAACCATAGTATCTGCTATTTTTTTAAATCCCCACGTGTCGGCGAGAATGAGCCAAAGAGGCGCTGTCGAGGGCTCCAGGAGAGGATATTGGAGGCCAAGAAGGGGCCCCGACGGGCCGAAATGGAACCCACAGGCCCCAGCAGCGTCTTCAGAACGATGCCAAAATCGAGCTTGTCTTGGACGCCGTCGTGGAGCCGTTTTGGAAACCGAAAAAGGGCATTGCCGCAGCAGGTCGGCGGAATGGCGGAGGCCTTCGGGGCTCTCGATGCCGAGGGGGCTGGTGGACTCGCCAGGGTCACCAGTTATGACCACCTGGTGGACATCCCCCTTCAGGGTGTTGCATCGCGCGCCCTGGCCACGACGGCTACCGTGCTGGCAGTGGGTCGATCGGCGAACTTGGAATCGAGTCGGCGTATCCCCCAGGCGAGGGCGCGATGGATGGGGCGGGGCGCTCGCTTCACTGCAGCCCGGGGCCGCGCGCGCTGACCGCGCCCGTCAGGCGCGCGCGCTCTGCGAGAGGGGCGCTTCGCGATCCACGGTGCCTCGAGGATCGCCCTCCTGGCGCCGACCGCGCGACCCGGTGCCAGACAGCGGGCGGGGCGGGGCCCGACGCGGGGGGTGCCGACGGCGACGCCGACCTGCTTACTCCGCCGCTGCCACTTCCATCAACGGCCACATGGGCCCTACCTTCCGCAACGAAAAGAGGGCGCGCACGATATCTTTTCTAAACGAATTCGGGGGCTGCTTTGACTGCGCAGGTGGCGGCGCCGCGCGCGGAAGGGTTCGCTGGCCGCGCATTGCTATCCATCAATCCCCTGGTAGTTGGCCCTCGTGTTTCGTCGTGTCTGCGCGTGGCGTGTGATGTCTGTCGTAGTCCCTGGCAGTGACCAGCGATGCGGCCGTGCAAATGCAACGCGGGCGCTGCCCGACCGCGATTTCATTTCTGCGCGAGCACTGAATCTCGGTCGCACGAGCGCGAAATCCCTCCCGCGCGGACGCGGAAGCGCCCCCGCGCGAGCGCGAAATTATTGTTGCACGAACGCGAAAGCAGCCCCGCACGAACACGGAACGAGGCGCGACGTGCAGCGCGAACGTCGGCGCGAAATGCGCCGCGACGTGCCGCGCGAAATTGTCCGCGCGGAAAGCGCTACGCGAACGTCTCTGGCGGTTTATGGCATTTGGGGGTGTTCGCATCGCAGGCTCGACCAAGCGCTCGCCGACGAGTCCGCGCTGCAAGTGTGGCGCCTTTCCGCGCGGACTCGCCGCAGTTGGCCCGATGCTGAGCGCCGACAAAACTGTCGCCCTGACTGCCGAGGCGCAGCCGCCAGGCAAGCTTCTGCCCCCATCCGGTGCATGCATCAAACGTGCGAGCTCTCACAAATTGTTGGGATGCACATCGTCAAACAAACGTTGTGAAGCAGGGCCAGGAATGCCACCATGAAGGTGCTGCGAGGGCCTTCTTCGCGAGCCGGTGGGTCCTCGCGGCGAAGCATGTATCGGTCGAGCTACGCTTGAATTATTTTCATGCTGTCATCACCCCGATTGGTATGTTTGGCAATGCGCGCCGCGCGATGCACGCAACCGGCGGGAAGAAGCTGGGCGCCGCGCGTCGCAAGCTTTTTCGACAAGTTGTCGGGCCGCCGGGCGGGGCTGATTTGATTAGTCCATGGCATGGGATTTTGCGCATCTGGCACGAGCGCGCGCCCGATAAATTTCAGGGCACCCGGGCCAAACTATGGTCGGACGTACTGCTTCGACATTGCTGGAACTTCGCCGGGTACGTCGCGAACCTGCCCGCCGAGAGGCGGCAATCTCGCGCTCTTGCAACCTGCCGGGGGCAGGTCCCTAGGGGGGCTGCGGAAAACGCGGCGGTCCGATGCCCAGAGTTTCTGCGACAAGTGCGGGATCGGCGATTGGAGAGCAGCAGCCAGAGACGCACGTTCCTGGAAGCGCACGACCAGAGATTTCCATCACCACACGAGCGCCTGCTAGTTTCACCCGCCTGCGGCCAAAGTGGCCGCCCCTTCGCGGGCGCGCCGGCATGACCTTTGTTTCGACCTTCCGCGCGGCCATTCTGGGCGGCAGTTCCTGGGTCACTTCGCCGCGCCGGCAACTCCGCGCGGGGAATTCGGCGCGGGCAATTTCGCGCCCCTGCGTCGCCCCCCCGGCCGACCGTGCTTGTCAGCTGCCGCTGGCGAGCCGGAGTGCGCATGCCGCGGCGACGGCGGGGGGGCCCAACGCCGATGGCCGCGGCGCCGACGGCTCGCGCGCGCGCGCGACCGTGGGGCGGCAGCGCGGCCCAGCGCCCGCGCCGTCGGGCCAGCCGTCAGGGCCACCCATCCCGCCGCGCCGCAGATGATTAATCGCACGGGGCGCCCAGGCAATTTCGCGGCAGATTTGCGCTTCCAGGGGGTCAGTTTCCGCGAGAGCCGCCGCTCGGGGCCCGCCTGCGCTCCGGGCGGGGGCCCGCCCCGCAGCGCCGAGGGCAGCTCGGCCCGCGAAGGCCGCCGTCGCCACGCCGTCGGCGCCGGGCGACGGCGCGCCGATGACTCGCGCGGAGGTGGTCGCCGAGATGCGCGAGCGGCTCAGGCGGCGCCCGCGGCCAACAAGAACGGGCGCCTTTTGGGGGGTCGCTCGTTCCCTTCGGGCCCCTCGCCTGGGGGCCTCTCAGCTGTCCGCGGGCGAAGCCGAGCAACCAGGCCTGCAGGCGGTGGAGGTCTGGGCCACCCCGGCCAGGGCTCCGACGCCCCCCCGCGCGCCGAGCAACGAGCTCCGACGCCCGCGTCCGCCCTGGCGGCCGCGCGGTGGAAGGGCTGGGGAAGGGCTTCTGCCAGATCACTTCCAACTGCCGCTCCCGCAGCCGCGCCGCCGCCCGCTGGACCTCGGGCCCGCCGGCGGGGCAGTCGGGGGCGCCCTGGGGCCGTCTGCCAGGGCGCCGCAGACTTCGCTGGACTTTGCCCTCCTGCGCCTGAGGAGCGCGTGCCGGAGGCCGCAGACCGCGCGCGCCCCGCGCGTCATCCGTCGCCGGGGACCTCGGGCGGACAGGCCCTGTTTCCGCTCGCAAGCGCGGGCTACCTGAGCGCGCCCCCCAACCAGGCGCGCGGGCTCGCTCAGTGACGCGAGCGGCAGCAGATGCCCATCCAGCGCGGCCCGGCTGCACGCGAGAGGGCGAAGGACAATCTCGCTCGCGCATTGGCTGCGGAGGTCCGCGCGCTGGCCGCGATGGTCATCTGAGCGCCCTCTGGGCGCTCAGTCGACGATGCGCGAGCCGCCGGTGCACCCCGCGCGGCCCGGTGCCGAGTTGCGGCGGGCAGGGGAGGGGGGCGTCGCCGATCGCGCTCAGACCCCGCCGCCGCGCCGCCGCGCGTTTGCGGACCGGCTGGCGGGGGGCCGCGGCCCCCTCGAGGCCGCCCGGTTCCTCGCGGGGGGGCCGGGGGAGTTCTCGCGCCGAACAGCAAATTCTGAGCGACCGCTTTGCCCCCGCCTGGGAGACCAACAAACATGCCGAAGCGCATCGCCCGGGCGCATGCGCGAAGTGGGCAAAAAGACGCATTGGCCAGACCGATGGCGCATGGCCATCCGCTTGGAGACACGCGGGGCGCAGCAAATTCCAGCGCGCCGCATTCGACGGGCAGGTTTGGCACAGCTCTATTGGCGCCGCTAGGGGAGACAACAATCAAACGGCCCCGGTCTCTTTCTGGCGGGCCCCGTGGGAACATTATCTTTTCTTTGAGTGCGAGCGCGCATGCGTGAACATGCAGGCCCGTTGGCCTGGCCTCTTTTTAGTGAAAAATGCACTTTTCTGAGTTCCTCCAGCCGCCAGCCCCCCGCCCGCCCACGTCGAATGCGAAGGCAGCGACGGATGGTCCGAGGCGGTGGCTGGGCGACGGCCTCGCCCAAGACTGAGTGGCCGTCCGCGCTCTGAGAAATCGGCCAGCGACTGATCGGCGCCGGCCGCCATGGAAAACTCACCATTCATTCGGGGCCCGCGGGCGCCGTCGCACCGGACTGCGCGCGCGCGTCTGCGTCTGCAATGCCCCCGAGAAGCAGGGCCAGAGAAGTGTCCACATTGGCACAGGGCGAGCCGTCAGCGCAGAGCTTTGTCACGACGGGCCCCCGGGAAAACGCAAATTTAGGCCCGCCGAGCAGCGGGGTGGGGCCCTGGAGGCTCTTCGACAGCGATCGCACTGCCAACGGTTATAGCCGGAGAGAAGCAGCAGCGGCAAGCAGCCGCCGCGCTGGCTGGCCGACGAATCCCCGACAGGGCCACCCGCGACAATATTGCGCGACGCAGCTGCCCGCGCGCGCAAGCCCGGGGGCCCGCGTAAATGCCGGGCCTAGCCGGCGAGGGACTTGCTTACAAGGGCTTCGCCCCCATTGTCATTGCCGGGAGCAGCGAAGGGCAGCGAAAGATCAGTAGGGCGGCGATCGCGCGGCCGACGGCAAGCGAGGGCGCGCCAGCAGCAGCGCGCGGCGGCAAGCGGCAGCAGCCGACGGAGAAATCCAAGCGAGCCTCTTGCGGCAGAAAATAAGCATGCATTTGCTGGATTGCCCACGCGCCCAGAGACCCCGAGGCGCGCCAGACCGCGCCGGCGAGGATCGTGGATGTGCCAAGGTAGGCCGAAACAGAAATGTGAACGACGTTCCGCGTCTGGGCCAGTCGATTTCGCGGCCGCTCATGCACGCGCGAGCAGCAACGGGCCGCGCGAAAAAAAACAGTCGCGACAACGCAACCCCAGGGCCGCAGAGCGCCAGCGGCAGCACAAGCCGCTCACGTACAGGCGACAAGCCCCGCGCACAAGCCAATGGGCATGCCACTCGGCCCCGCGGGGACGAGACTCCCGAGCCCTGGGCAGCGACGCGTTGCGCGCCAACGCAACCGCCCTAGAATGCCTGCGGCTAGTCATAGTACTGCTTGAGTCTAATTCATCTACTCATATATACTCGATACTTGCCCAAGCCAATCCTATTGTATTTCACCCGACCGTATCATAAAATCGTCTCTCTCTCTCTCCCTATATATGTATCTCTCCCTATATATGTATATGCGTGTGTGTGTGTGTACACCCGGCTCTTTCTTACTCTAGTCAAATTCAATATTCCTCTTCTCTACTACTCCACGCTGCCCTAGTCTACTCTACATGCCTCTACTTCACCGTACCGTAGTATATTATTATATGTTTGTTCTTCCATTTCATTATATAATATCATAGTCTTGTCTTTTTTAGGCAAGCATATACTAAATTCACGTTTTGTTCTGTTCTGCGCGATCCGCTTCTGTTCTAGTCAAGTTTATTTTGCGACTATCTCACTGCATGGTATTCCTGTTCTGTTTTGGCCAGCTCTATTCTATCCCATCCATGTTCTACTCTACGCATCCACTCCTCGTGATTATATTCCGAAATTCGTATTCTACTCTATCTACTCCAGCCCCCTATTCCATGTGACGATATTCTAGTCTACTCCACCCAACTACTCGACCCTATCGTTTTCGGCCCAATTCTATTCGGTTGTACTCGACCCATTATTCTAGTCTTGTTATATTATGCTCTACGCTTGCTCTACGCTGCTCGTCGTCTCGGTCGTCTTCGTAAGTGTCGTTGTCATCGGCGTCGGCGTCGGCGTTTGCGTCGTGCGTCGTGCGTCGTGCGTCGTGTGTAGTGTGTAGTGTGTAGTCGTGCGTCGTCGTCGTCATCGTCGTCGTCATCGTTATCTTCGTCGGCGTTGTCGTCGTCGTTGTCAGAAAAGGGGGTTCCGGAACCCCGCAGTTTCCCGGGGGAAAGGGGGGGGGGTGGACCTTCATTCATTTTCCCAGGGCCTGGGGGGTCCTGGGGGGGGTCCATGCAGAAAGCCCCCCGTTAGTTTGGGGGGTGAACCCCCTCCTCGTGCCAGCAGCAGCAAACAACGCTCTTTTTGGAGGTCCCATACAACGTGGGCCCGGGAGATTTGGATTTCTTCCCTGGAACTGAATTGTCATCTTAGTGAGGACCCCAGAGGCCGACCATTTGCAAGAACCGTCCGTTGTTAAGTGTCACGTCGCGCCCCGCAACTTCGGTTAATAATAAGAGGGGACAGATGGGAAAGGAAGGGGAGGGAAAACCGAGCTGCGCGCAGGCCACACAATCCGTTTCCCCAGCGCGCCTTCCTGGCGCGCCTTCCCGCGCGCGCTCCCGGTGCGCCCTCGATGTGCGCCCTCCCCGCGCGCCCCCCTGGTTCGCTTTCCACGCGTGCACTCCAAGCGCGCTCTCCCTGCGTGCCCTCCTGGCGCGCCTCTCCCGCGTCCCCCCCCCCCCCCCCCCGTGCCCTCTCCCTCTCCGCAGCCCCTACTCCGCCCACGAGCGCGCACGGATAACAAGCAAATCCTTCTGGACCCCCTTCGTCCTAACTGCGAGAGACGGTGTGAGTTTTCCGCCTCCTCCTTCTCCTCCTCCTCCTCCTCCTCTCCCTCTTCCCCTTCGTCCTCCTCCTGCTCCTCCTCCAATTTCTCCTCCTCCTCCTCCTCCTCCTCTTCCTCCTCCTCTTCCTCCTCATCCTCTTTTCCCCGTCCTCCTGCCCCTCCTCCTTCCCCTCTCCCTCCTCCACCTCCTCTCCCCGTCTTGATATCTTCGCGGCGACAGGAGGGGGGGGGGGGCGGCGGGAATCCGGGCCAGGTGTCGCCTTCGTTCGAGATCCCGAACCAGGAGAAGGCGCCCGCGCCCTCGCCTTGCAGACCCGCCGCGGGCGCCGCCAGAGGCTGGCCAAGGCCGCTGAGTGCCGCCCAAAGCCACCGACCAAGAAATCCGGCGTCTCGAAAAAACAGGACGGATTTGTGTTCATAGTTTTGGCCTCCCGGGGCCCTCGAGAGGCCTCGACCGTCAAAAAACTACCAGGATGAAAAACCAGTCCCGGGGAAGTAGTTGAGAGGTCGGTGGCCCGCGTCTCGAAAACATCGAGACGCCAGATGCCTGGGGAGGCCGCCGAGGGTTGAACGCATCCACAATATCCTGCTTCCAAGGCGCGGCCCCGCCAGCGCCGGCGAGGAGGTCAGCTTGCGAAGTGCTGCCCCACGAATCGGTTTGCACATTTTCGTGATGGACAGCCTCAAGCAGTGGCGAAGCGTCCTGGCATGCCTATAGGCCCACCAAAGAATGTTCTGAGAACCTTTTGTGGTCTGCACGAAATGTTAAATTTGGCGGGGACTGTTTTGTTCTAGCACATCGTGTGTGTGTGTGTGTGTTTTCGGATCACTAATTGTGTCATTTGAACATTTACATGTTTGGGTTATGAGAACTTTTCGTGGTAGGCCTATAGGAATGCCGGGACGGTCGGTCCCTGCTCAACACCTGCTCAACAGCCTCGCCCGCGGAAGCAGCTGCATTTACTCGCGTTCGCGATGCTGGCGTGGTGTGGATTCCACAGGAGCTCAGGGGGCGCCTGGGGAACGGCGGGCCTGGCAGCCGCGGTCCCCCCCCCGCCCGCGGGTTTGGCAACCGCGGGCGGGCCCCCGACGTGGCTTCCGGGACATCGGGTCTACATCCTGTCGATCTGACGTGACATCGAGACATCGATTCCAGTTGGCCCGATCCGATTCGATTGAGGGTGTCCACCGCCTGGTGCGCTCCCAGCACTGCCCCTGATGCGCACAGGCGCTGATGTGCCGGAGCCACACAGCAGCTTCTCCGCCCCCCTTTTCCCCAATAACGCCAGCTATCGCAGCGAATAAAGCAATGTTATGATCCCGGCCGGCCGCAGATCTCCGACGTAGTTATTTTTGTCCACGACGCGGACCCTCAAAAGTCTAACCAGGACCCGCATCACATCCCCAGGACCTGCTTTTCATCGCATTTTTTTTTTTCTGGCGGTGCAAGGGCTTGGCGAGGGCGCCGAAGTTTGAAGGCGAAGCCGCACGCGCCGCTGTGCGCTTTCGCGCGGCCGATCCGATCCGAGTTCCGTGCCGATGCGGCCCGCCCTGGCGCAAGTTCCGATCCCGGACGGCTGGCGCCTCGAGCTTTTCGAGACAGGGCCCCCCCGACCTCTCGACCCTTTCCCTGCGACCCGCTTTTCATCCCGAGTCGTTCCGTTGACGGCCCCGAGGCCCAGCGAAGGCCCCGAGATGCAGGACAACATTTGAAAAGAACGTCCCCATTCGTTCGAGACGCCGGATGTTTGGGACTCGATCGGGTTTACCGATTCGATGCTGTCTGCTTCTGGCCTCTGGAGAGCACCCGAGCAATCCGGTGGGAGCGGCGGGGCGAGCTCGTCTCTGGCAGCCGCTGTGCCTCGTCTCTGGGGGCCGCTCCCTCGCTGGGCCTTCTGGCCTTCTGGTAGGGGCGGATGGATGCCGGGCCCATCCTCGCCCACTCCTGGCTTCAGTCAGGCCCAGGATTTGGATGCAGTGGAAGCCCATGCCAAAAAAAACCCTGCTTGCCTCCAGGGTGCCTTGGGTATCTTGGGTTTCAATGGTCGATGGTTTTGATGGGAAGCGTGACGTTCCCACACCGAAAATTAGTAGACGTCCTGGGGTCTCATAGTTGGGTTTCTTGGAGAAGGTTTCTTGTGGCCGATCTCCTACTGTATAGTTCCCGAACGTCCCGGAACGCTCGCAGAGAGTTCGGAGACCTTTGGAACGGCCGCGGCGCCCAATGTATCTTCCAATTTTGCCAGATCTCACCGATACCCGATTTGTCACACAGTCCGATGTTATCTTGGTCTTGGCTTTTGTGAATCGAGCTCATTCCCCAGGAATGTAAGAGGCCCGAAAGGGTTTCCCCCAGAAACCTCGAGGGGCTTGTGGTTTCATTTCTTGCTCGCCGCTGCCATTTTTATTTCGAACTATGGCCCTTGGCCTTAGAGCTACGCCTCTCGCGAGGCCGCGGGTAAGAAGATCCATCGATTATCTTCCATATCACAGTGGTAGTTTGAAGCGAGTCTCAGCTGCCTGGCGTCGCGCGCCATTTCATATCCTGGCGCCGCGCGCCATTCCATTGTGCAGCAACGACGGAGTCTGCGACACGTCGACCCACGGAATCGAAACCCAGCGGCTTCCTACCGCTGTTGCTCAGCGCCGTCGCCAGCGTCAACGACGCTAGCAACGCCTACTTCTCCAACGACAGCGATAGCGACGCCGTCACCAACGCCTACCCTGCCAACTCCTACGCCAGCGTCAGCGACGCCAGCACCTACGCCTCAAACGCCTTCCTTTACGTCACCGTCAGCGACGCCGACATCAAAGCTTATTTCTCTGACGACAGCGTCAGCGACGCCGTCGTTTACGACTATTTCGCCTACTTCTCCTACATCAGCGTCAGCGACGCCAACTTCAACGCCTACTTCTCCTACGCCAGCGTCTGCGACGCAAGCTTCAACGCCTACTTCTCCTGGGCCAGCGTCAGCGACGCAAGCAGCGGCGCCTACCTCTCCAACGCCAGCGTCAGCGACGCCAGCATCAACGCCTACCTTTACCTGTCCAGCGCCAGCGTCAGCGACGCAAGCATCAACGCCGCCTTGTCCTACGCCAGCGTCGCCGACGCCAGCGTCAACGCCTACCTCAACGCCAGTGTCAGCGACGTGGTTCATTATCTCATTCTTGACACAATGACAGACAACTACGCGTGCAGCGCCACCCCCACTTGGAATGGCGATCCGGCAAAGTGGAGAGATTTCGAGCAGGAGGTTAAGTTCTGGAAGTTCAGTGAGAACCTCGCTGTGGCTCACAGCGTCGCATCGAAGCTCGCGCTGAAGCTAAGCGGGACAGCCCGTGGCGCAGTGCTTAATATGACGGAGGCGCAGTTGCACGCAGCAGCCGCGGCGGACATAGGAGACCCTGATGACAGGAAGCACAATAGGAACCAGGTCGGCATCGAGAACACGCTACATCACCTGGAGGCTAGTTTGGGGCAGCAGAAGCCCGCGCAGAAGGGCGAAACCCTTGAGAAGTTCATCGGGCCGACTCAACATCGCCGACGAAGAGGTGAACGCATGACGGACTGGCCCATCCGCTTCGAGACTGGACTGCAGCAGCTACGCGAGAACGAGGTGGACCTCAACGCGCTGGACGACGTGGCGGGATGGTTCCTGCTGCGCAAGGCTGGGCTCACGGCAGAGCGCCGCGAGCGCGTCGTGGGCAGCCTGCTCGACGATCATTACGGCTACCAGCGCATCCGCGGGCTGTTGGTCAGGATGTTCCCGGGCGCACATGCGTCGGAGCGCCGCGCCCACTCGCCGAGGTCGTGGACCAACCAGTCGCGCTCGCATGGCGGCTGGCGCAGCAACGTTCCCCCCAGCCGCGGGGGGCGCTGTGCCAACGTCGTCGACGAGCCGGGCGACGAGAACGACGAAGAGCAAGAGGGGGGCGACGAGGGCGAGGCCGACGCCCAGGACATCGTTCGCCGGGTGCTCGAGGCTTCTAGCGCCGAGCTCGAATCCTCCGACGTAGACGTCTCCGAGCTGTTCGACGGCGACGACTCTGCCAATGTCGAAGCTGCCGCAGCAGAACTTGCCGCTATTCCCGAGGCCATGGCCACCATCAGATCGGCCCGGGAGGCCGTCAAGGGCCGCGGCAAGGCGAAGTCCGCGCCGAAACGCCGCCCGACCAAGCTACAGGGCCGGGTCGACCAGCGCGGGAGGAACACTTCTTGTTGGGGCTGCGGCGAGACCGGACACCGGACATGGGGACAAGGAGCGCCCCGCGCCAGGTGCTCGCAAGTTCGCGCACAAGGGCGGCAAGTCAAAGGGCGGTGGGCGAGGAGGTCGCGGAGGCCGTCCTCAGCTCCAGGCGCACATCGCCGAGCAGGTCCAGTTCGCGGACGAGGAGATCGCCCTGCACCCGCAGGGGCCAGTCGCGCCGCCCCCAGAGACTTGCGTCTCGGAGCGGCCCATCCACCACCAGCCGAACGCGAGCGTCGCGATCGGCAATGACAAGCCCGTGAACGAAGGCGTCGGCGCGGTTGGCACCGCCTGCCTTTTCAGCGTCTCGGGCGAGAAGTGGTACGACAACTACAAGGACTTCCTCGCGGGGATGGGGCTTGCCCACCAGATCCTCGCGGAGCCGGAGGACGATGTCTACAGGTTCGGCAACGGAGGTGCTCCCCCATGCGCGCCGCGCGTCGCCGTGCCGCTTGCGCTGCGCGGCCAGGCTGGCCGCATCGTGAACAGCCCTGCACTGAGTCTGCTCATTGGCCGCGACTTCATCCAGCCTTCCAAGATCGACATTTCGTTATGGAAGGGCCAAATCCGCACCGGGAACGCTGCCCAGAAGCTCACCACGAGCGCCGCGGGACACCCCGCAATCAAGTTTGCAGCCAGAGGACTGGCAAGCCATCGAGGACGCCGGCATGGAGCAACCGCCCAGCGCGGCCAGCTCGTCCGGAAGGAAGCGACATATGGACAATGCCCTATACGTAGAGGTCGAGAAGACGCTCGACCGACGAGATCGGAAGACGAGGATGGGCGACCAGCCCGCGGTCAACAATACTACCAGGACCAGCGCGCTGATCGACGCCATCAACAACCTCGCCACGAAGAAGGAGCTGAACGTTCCGAGACGTCTCCAGACTCGGCGACCGAAGGGGTCGCGGCTGCTTTCGGCCGTAACCTCAGCCCTGGTCTGCTGCTCTACCGCAGCTCCAGCTCCGAACCTCACGCTAGCGACGCTGCCGCAGACGACCTACCCCACGACGCGCGTGACCGAGCCCCTGCAGGACTGCAT